CGACCTGTCACTGAGCAATCTGAAATTTGACGGCACTTGACTGTCATCTAAAGGCTCCACGTGTTTGTTCCTGCACTCTTTTGGGTTTAGTACTTTGCCTAGACATAGCTTTATATTGTAGCATTGTTTCTGGTTATATCATATCATATGCACGTAGGTACCTTCATGCTAAATGTTCCTTAAAACACATTGCCTTGCCTTGAATTGCATTTTAAGCGTAACCTATGAACTGCCGACAATCTGTGGAGATTTAGAATCTTTTGAACACTTCTGAATCTTTTTAACCAAAACGCCAGCTTTTTAAAAAAATGTGTAATGATGAAATGAAGAGATTAATATCTATACGTCTGTTTGGTGCCAGATAAAAATACACACGCAGAGGACTGTGGTCTGTTGGTGTAACCTAAAACCTTAAACCTAAAAATATTGAGTAATAAATAATTAAAACTATATTTTCCGTAATGCCAACTAGGCTGAGATAGACATAGAACTGTACAGAATACAGAATGAGAGATAAAACTGCGTTAACAAATTACCATCATACACTACTATAAAAACCGTATAGTTTTCCGATGAAAATGTCTTGCATTTTTAAGTGGTGTTGTGGAGAAATGCATTTGTAGGCTGTTAAATTGGATCATCAGGTAGAAGGTCAGATAAGGCTGGGTCTCAGCCCTTTACAAGGTCAGTGTCCAATCACAGCAGCGCTTGACATGGAGCCATAAATCTGATTGGGCTGATGTTGTTAAGGTGAGTAAAGTTATTTCTTTCCATACTAACTGAGCTTCTGTGGTCTGGAGGAGGAAAAAACAACATGGTACAGCGTTGATATATACCCTAGCAACCCTATAGCAACACCCTAGCAACCACACTGAGTACCCTAGCAAACGCATATCAACACCTTAGCAACCACCCTGAGTACCCTAGCAACCACATAGGAACACTTTAGCAAACACCCTGAGCACCATAGCAACCGCATACTAACCCACTCTAGCAACCACCCGAGTAACCTAGCAACCACCCTGAATACCTTAGCAACCGCATAGAAACACGTTAGCAACCACCCTGAGTACCCTAGCAACCACATACATAGGAACACTTTAGCAACCACCCTGAGTACCCTAGCAAACGCATAGCAACACCTTAGCAACCACCCTGAGTACCCTAGCAACCACATACATAGGAACACTTTAGCAACCACCCTGAGTACCCTAGCAAACGCATACTAACCCACTCTAGCAACCACCCGAGTACCCTAGCAACCGCATGGTAACACCCTTGCAATCACCCTGAGTACCCTAGCAACCGCATACTAACCCACTCTAGCAACCACCCGAGTACCCTAGCAACCACCCTGAATACCTTAGCAACCGCATAGCAACACTTTAGCTACCACTCTGAGTACCCTAGCAAACGCATACTAACCCACTCTAGCAACCACCCGAGTACCCTAGCAACCGCATGGTAACACCCTTGCAATCACCCTGAGTACCCTAGCAACCGCATACTAACCCACTCTAGCAACCTAGCAACCACCCTAGCAACCACCCTGAATACCTTAGCAACCGCATAGCAACATGTTAGCAACCACCCTGAGTACCCTAGTACCCTAGCACATAGCAACATGTTAGCAACCACCCTGAGTACCCTAGCAAACGCATATCAACACCTTAGCAACCACCCTGAGTACCCTAGCAA